AGAGAAAGAGCATCAGTAGGTCATTCCGTTGTTTATTTTTGGTAGGCGGGTTATAACCCGGGGGAGAGAGGAGCACGGCGCGGTCGCTGCTGTGTGACGGGATCGTGGTGGCGTTCACACCGTGGGGGTGACCAGGAACGGCTTCTGGGGGTTGTTGGCAGTTTTCTGGGTGCTGGCAGCACCGCCCGGGCACCCTGGATACGAGGAGGTCTGTCCGGGCCGGCTCTGTTAGGGCAGGAGGGGTGCTGCGGGCAGCCCCCGCCGGTGCTGCCAGGTGCCTGGAGGCCGTGCAGCGCGATGAACACGGTGCCAGAGCCGAGTTTCGGGAGCAGAGGCTGTGAGGGGTCGGTGTGGCGGCGGCGCCGCTGCCCACCCGCCTGTGCCTGGAGGACCCCGTCGCTGCGTGTGCTGGGGCGAGCTCTGCTCCGGAGTGGTTTGAGCGCAGCAGTTACGCCTAAAACAAACACTGGGTCACGTCCGTGGGGGTCGCGGAGCTCGTGGCGGGGAGCAGTGCTGTTTGTTTACCTCCGTTTGAGCTGAAGGCCTATTTTATAGCTTTCACCAAACAAAAACTTCAGTTTCTGGGTGTGTTTGTAACGCTGCAGTGTTCTGCCACAGTATAAAGTCTTCGGTCACTCCTGGAAGCCCTCAGCTGAACAGTCCCAAAGCAGCGAGGGCCTGAGCGCATTCTGATTTGGCTCGGTGTCACTTGTGTGTCCGTCTGCCTTTGCTCGTTGCCTGCGTCTTTCTCTTTGAAGGGATGATTTTTGGGAGGTTCTGGAGCATGAACCTCTTCCCACCAGTCGCAATGCACCTGAGTTCAATATCTGCTCTTAAACATTATTTCCCCTCAGAGCTTTGATCAGAACCTTCATCCAGAGGAGAGATTTTCGCCTCGTGACCTCATTAAGAAAATCAAAGAGCAGAAGGAAGAACTGGGCCTGATCATTGACCTGACGTACACAACTCGCTACTACGGGCCAGAGGTCAGTCTTGGTCTTGCTGTTGGGGAGGCGCAGCTCTGTGTGAGCCCTGATATTGCTGATAAAGTGGAAGGTGTTTCTTGCAAGAAGATAGCTTTAAAGAGCGCGAGGCACCCGAATCCTCTGGCAGGGGGATGAGGTGAAGCGTTGCAGGCCCGTCGGGATGGGGTCTTCGTCTTCGATCAAGGACAGGCCTGGGGTCTTCAACCCCCATTGTGCAGATCCTCTTTGTACCGACCAGCACAAGTTTTGGGATACCCTAAAGCTGGTTTTTGTAGGCTCTCCTGAGCGAAGAGCCGATTACAACCAGCTTTGGCTTGTGGTATCAAATGCGTGGATACTTGCTTGGAAAGGTGTTCCGTGCTCCGCGTGTGCTTCGTCTTCCCCGGGGAGGAAAGAGCAAAGGCACAAGAACTAAAAATGCGAACAGGTTGCGCTGGAATATTGGTACTATGTCAAAGGAGCGAAGCAGAAGTTTTCTTACCTAAAACTGTGGTGCTGCTCTTTCGGGCTTAGCTGAAAAGCTCGGCTTCTTCTGGCTTACGGTCTATGGTTCTCTAATTGATAAGAATCCTTGCGCTTTTTGTGGAAATCATCGACTTTCTTTCTTGTAGGAGCTCCCAGCCACACTCTGCTACTCAAAGATCTTGACGATGGGACATGAAATACCAAACAGGCACACCATTTTTCAATTCAAATGCATTGTAAAAAAGTTTTTGAGAGACAACAAAGACAATGGTAAATGTGGGTTTCCCGTACGTTGCTGTTGCTGGGAAGGGCACTGCAGACTTGGAGGCCGGTGATGTTTTAATGAACAGCACGAATTTCTTTTTCCTTCTCTTGGCATGTGAATGTCAAGGCAGTAAGATTGGTTTGTTGTGGTCAAGGAATTCACGCTGGCTCTCTGATAATTTGGCAGCGAGTTGAGCTTTAATTAAGTTTGAGGCTGCATCTCTAGGCTGGCTTTAAATACCGATTGCTTTTTGGTAGCAGCGTAAGCAGCAAGCTGTTGGGAAATGTGGGGTAGCTTTTTGTGGGGCTTTTAAATACATCTTCCCTGCAGTGAGCTGTGTGACCGTGCAGATGAGCTCACAGAATTAAATGAGCTCATGAGCTGAATCGGTGGTGCTAATTAGGCATAAATACGGTGACGTTGTTGCGTGGTCGTTTGTGTTTGTTCACGCTAGTGTCACTGTTGGAGGGCGAATGCAAACGGGCTTGTTCTGGTTGGGTTTTGGAGAAAGAGCGCTTAAATATAACCTGATTATTCTGTGTTACAGATAAACTCATCGGAGTTCATTGCACGCATGGCTTGAACAGAACCGGCTACCTGGTTTGTAGGTGAGTTTGTCCTTTGTCAAACTGAGTTAAGTGGTGGCGTTGCCGGCTCCTCGTTGCTCCAGGAGGAAATAGCATTGCACCAGTAAAACAAGAGTCGAGTGACCTGCGTGATCCCAGACTTGCAAGGATTTAAAACTTTTCGGCTTCGAGAGGGTGGTTGTTAGGGGACGCTTTTTATCCCCGATTTCAGCAGACCAAACGCTGATGTTCCATTCTGGCGTGTAAATAGAAGCTCTAAAAGCTTCCCAGTTATTCTTTTTTTGAATCGTCACTAACCTGTCAACGTTTCCATAGTTAATTGCGTAATTAGAGCTTTCTTGCTGATCTGTTCAGGTACCTGATTGATGTTGAAGGCATGGAGCCAAATACTGCAATAGAGTGTACGTATGCGTATGTCCTTCTGGTTCGGATGCGAAATGTTTGTCACGGGCTCGTGGTTTTAGATGGTCAAAAGGTTTGGGCTACTCCAGGGAGGTAACTGTGGTTTAGCTCTGCGTGTGTGTGTGTGTGTTTTCCCGTCGTGTAGAGTGGGAGCTGGAGGAGGAGAGGTGTTGGGGGTGTTGCGAAGTGATTGGAACGAAGGAATTAAGTTTATGGCCCGCCTGTGGAGCTAACCAGGGTTGAGTGAACCCCGGGGGGCACTGAGCGCTGGTCGGATAGCGCCGCGCTGCAGCTCTGCCCGCCCGTCTGCCTTGTCACGGGCTGTCGTGCGGAGGGCGGTACGCCGTAAGGAGTCACCTTCTGTGGCCTGAGTTTGGAAGGATTGGTTGAAGGGGTTAAAAATCCTTCTAAGAAGCGCTCTGCAGCCCCAAAGGTGACTCGTATGGAGCGTTGCTTTAACTCAGACCTGTCTCTCTCCAGTGTTCAACAGGGCTCGAGGGCATCCTATAGAGAGAACCAACTATATCCAAGATCTTCAGAAGAGATCTGTAAAAAAGTAAGTCTGTGTGTGTGCACGAGCGAGGGCACGTGCCCGGGGAGAGCTGCTGTCAAGCGACAGATGTTAAACGTCGTTGGCTCCTAGGAAGGGAGGTAGAATGGGCCGGTGGGCAGGGAGGGAGGCGGGCAGCTGGGAGACCCGGGTTTAAAGATCTCCACAAGCCTCCTGCCCTTCCTTTTTTCGGGGAGCAGTGATGCAAAGGGGTGGGAGGGGTTTTTTTAAGTGTAAAAGAGCTGTTGCGATCGCTCGGTGAATGGTTTGTGGACACAGTCAAGACATACAGAATTCTTTTTAAGGAACTGCGGACTAAAGAATTTGGCCTCGGGCCCCTTCAGGGAAAAAGCCGGCGCTACACCAAACACTAAAAAGCAGATGGCCAAACATCATCCGAACCAATCGCCCTTAGCGGTGCCCAGGTAGGTTTTTGCTTCTTGCCTCTGTGCGTGCCGTACGGCTGAGCAGACGGGACAAAAAGAGCTGCTTTCTCATTTTTTGAGAAACTTAACAGTTGGATTTTTACAAGCTGCAGCTCACACAAGAGAGCGCCCGTTGCTTTTGCCAGCTCTGCAGTGGCGGTGAGGGGGGGAAAACCCTCCCTGAAACTTGTCTAGAGCCTACGTGTCAATGTTGAAGCGTTCCTTGCGTCTACAGCGGCAAAGCTCTTTGCCTCTGAGTAACGCACGTGTGCCTGTAGACGCGGAATAACGTAACCGACGGTGTTGGTGCTAGTTCCCAGTGGGGCTGAAACGTTCTCAAGCTGTCTAAGAGGTTGCAGGGACAAGAGGACTTTGAATCGGGTGCCGAGTGAGGCAGCTCTTCCCTGAGAGTGAAGCGGTAACTCTCTCTCTGTTCCTAGGCTCCTCCCGTCTCAGCAGGGATGGCAGGGGAACAGCGAATGCAGGTAAAGAGCTTCCTCTTGCCCGTGTGGCGCACGTCCTAGATGGGAGATGACCTCTGGCAGCTCCTAGCTGTGGGGGAGCTCCGAAACCGTCTCGGGAGCAGAAGTGTGGTAGCCGGTGCCTGCTTCTGGTGGAGCAGTGGCTCGTTCAGCCCCGCTCTTCAGGGGCATGCAAAATGTTTCCTGCTGAAAACTTCCCTTGCCGGAAGAAATCGGCACGTAGGAAATAAGCTGCTAGCTGGGCGTCCTTCCTGGGCGTCGCATCGTTCAGGCTGAAGCGAAAGGGACCGGGGTAAACCCGGAGGGGGCAAGGAGGTTCGCAACCAGCCCTTTCGGGCTCCGCGCGTAGAAAGACTGAACGGGGCCGCGATTTTTCCTGGTACTGACTCCTGAATTTTCTTCCAGAAACTCCGGCAGCGCCAAGAAGAACCGCAGGCGAGGCGCCAAGGCGCAACGCCAGGAGCTGGCGACCGAGCACGGGGCGACCGAGCGAAGGCGGCCGTGCAGTTTGGCGGCGAGGAACTGTCAGGTTTCGTTGCCCGCTAACGAGCGGCGCAATGGATTGTGCTTTCCCCCCCAGAGCCCCCACCTCTGCCCGCCCCAGGAAAGGCAAGGGGCCAGGAAACGCAGGCGCCGGCGTAGGAAACCTGTTGTGACGGCGTAGGGAACGTCGCACGCGACGAAAAGCCCCAAGTCCAGGGCTGCGTCTCCATCCCGGAGGAGCTCTGAGACGGGTCTCTCACCGCATGAACGAGCGGCTTTGCTGTAACCTCCACCAGCAGTCGGGAACTGCAGACGCAGGTGTTCTTTGTCTTCACAAAGCTCTCTTTTTCTTAAATTTTTTTTTCTCCCCCTGCCTCTCTCCCTTCCTCCTCTCCCCCCTCCCCCCTTTGGTACTTTTATATCTCAGAAGAAAGTTTTTTAACCCTGTGTCGGACTGGAGTCGTAGCTCCGCTCCTTGAGGGATGCGGAGAATAAACGTGGACCCAAACGGAGCTGGAATTACCCTAAAGAAACACCCTCAGGAGCATGCCTTTATCTTCAACAAAAAGGGCTTTTCCTTGATTGCCTCCATATGTAACAAGAAATAGGATTCAGCCTGAAAGAAGATGACGATTTATTTTTTTTTCTTTTTTCCCCCCCCCTTTTCACCCACTTTTGCTAAAGTAAATTTCGGCGGTGCGTAAACCTCGAGCCCCGGTTGTGGAGCAGTTATTTCCCCCCCCAGGACGGGCCTGACGAGCCCTGTGGGATCCGCGCTTCGGCCCTCACCCGAGCGGAGGGTTGTTGGGCGGTGGACTCTGGCCTCGCCAGAGTCCTCTGGACCGTTTTGGCGTGAGAACGGGTGTTTTCGGGGTGGGGCGGGGCCGTGCAGCCGGGAAGGGAGCTGCCCCTTTAAGATTCGGGGCCGGTGTCTGACGTCATGACGCCC